TATTATTATTATTGTTATTATTATTATTATTATTATTATTATTATTATTATTATTATTATTATTATTATTATTATTATTATTATTATTATTATTATTATTATTATTATTATTATTATTATTATTATTATTATTATTATTATTATTATTGATACAACACAAACAAATTTTTATAAGCCGACACGAATCTTGAGACATGACACGAATCTTGAGACATGACACGAATCTTGAGACATGACACGAATCCCGAGACACTTTTTGATAAAGAAACATTCAAATTTTCAATTAAGTGTTATGCAAAGCTCTGATTTCATCAAACTTATAATCAAACTAATCAGCTCGATGAGACTAACCAAATAATATCATATTTAGTCCAATTAGAATTAAATCAAGCCCAGTATCAAGTCAATAAACCACTCTTAGATATTTCCAAACACATATGGAAGGAAGAACTAATGCTAATGCTAGCAAGCCTATACTCAAATCAAGCGTCTCGACAATATGAATCCAACGAGCCCAAAATTGCACAATTTTAACATCATTAAGGCACTAAAATGTCCATAAAACGCCATCCAATTGAGAGAAGCTCGCCGAACCGTCCGATTAATAATGATTCATATTCCTGCATTAATTGCACCCAGAACACTATAAATAGAGCCCCACCCCTCACATGAGGGAGGAGGCTTGAGAGAGAACTTGAGGTTTTGAAAAAAAAACTCAAGTCCAACATCATCCCTGCCATCGTCGACCTTCGTCGACCACCACGACCGTCGTCGACCACCACGACCTCCACCGACCTTTGTCGACCACCGTCGATCACCGCTAACCTCCGTCGACCGTCATCGACTACCGTAGACCACTGCTGAACTACATCAACCACCACCGACCGTCATCGATTGTCGTTGACTACTGTCGATCGCAACTGATCTCCGTCGACCACTGCCGATTAGACGCCGTCAGTCGATATTATAACTTGGAAAGCCAGTAATCTTTTCTCGTCTGTGGTACAAGGGGTCTCTGTAATCATTAATCAATAGTGTATTTTTGCAATTGGGTCAGACCTCGTGGTTTTTTTCCTTTCTAGGTTTTCCCGTAAAAGTTTCTAGAGTCATCTCTTTTTGTTTTCTCTTTCTTCTATGTGTGTGATGAATTCTCGTACAACGCTAAGACAATAATTTGTTACGCTACTGCTGCGAATTTTCCAGCACGCATTGATTATTATTATTATCATTATCACTCGAGCATTTTCGCTTATACGCTGCCTCGTTGTGAAATAAACATCTTCTTTATGTAAAATTGACGTTCTAGACGCAATCACACAGTTCGTTTCATCATCCGACATTTTTAGACCGCCCACGAAGCAATAGCGAGACAAACGTGCTTCTTAGGTTAAATTGACGTACCAGACGCATTTGTGTGATCCATTTTGTTGTTTGAGGTCACCTGGACAACCTCGACGATGATCATGTCAAAAATGCGTCAAATTTAATTTTCATCAGAGTTTTGGTTCACAATCGACCATTTTGGAAATTGATCATGGGTCAATTAAATGAATTTGGATTCAATTGAAATTGGATCTAGATATGTTGAATTTGATGTGAATTTGAAATTGGGGTATTTGATTGATCATGAAGCTTAATTTAAGATTTTTGGTCAAAGTGAGCAAATTTGGTCAAATTGGACCCAATGGATGGTCAAGAATTGGTTTTAGAGGTGTTTGAAATGATTTTGGAGGATTTGAGAATTTTTGTGCCATGAGTGGCATTTTGGTAATTTTGGCCAACTTGGGACAAAGTGGTCAAAAGGTTGATTTCAAGGCTCTAGGTGGTTCAAGAAGAAATTTGGAGTCAAACGACAGTGTCTGAGGTCATTTTTGATCAATGTGGAATGTTTTATGATCCCTGAAGCATTTTTTTAAGTATTCATTATTTTGTTGTCAATGTGCCAAAAAGTTGTCAGGAAGTATAACAAGCTTACAGTCAAATTTCTCAGGAAGACATAAGGAATGATTTTGCGTGATTTTTAGGACTTATTGGTGACTATGAGAAATTTTGGAAATATTGATATTTTGGGGGTCCATGGGTATTTTGGTAATTTTTAGGAAAATTGGTTATTTTTGCAATTTTTGGATTTTAAATGGTCTAAATGATAATATCAAATGGTTTGAATTGGATTCTGCAATTAAATAGTAGTTTTGGGGAATTTTGAAGAATTAGAATATTCAAGTGGGTTATTTTAGGGGAAACTGAGTTCAAATAATTTTGGTCAGCCTGATGGGTGTAATGATTGCAACCTTGTGATATGAAAATACAATGTTTATGATGATCATGATGATTATGATTGATGATGCAATGCATTGAAGTACAAAAAAGTGTAAAACAGTGCAAGACTTTCTTATGGTCCATAGATCCTATAGGAATTCTCATCAGAGTTCCCTTATGTAATCTCTAATCTTTGTATTAAAGATTATTGATCACATAAAGAACCAACATAGAGAATAGAGATTTGGTTGAAATGTCTAAGGAGAAGGTAGGTACCATTTCTAAGATGTTAAGATAGTTATTAAGAAAGTTCTAAGGCTATACCCTAGATAATAAAGGAAAGACCCAAAATCCTCACCCAAAAGTGAGGTCAAAAAATGGCCCCCAATGGGTGGGGTGTGCTAAAGAAGCACACCGCGCTTATTGGCGTTGACCAAGGTGATCAACGGACCAATCGAGTAAATCTGAAGTTAACTTTCCCTTAAAGATTATATAACTCAGTAAGGGAGGAACTGCACTAGTATCCACCATGGGTAGCTTAGTGAACACCCACTGGGGATATAAAAGGTGTTATCCATTAGGGATGAGCAAGAAGGATATTTATCAAAGGTTGATGTGTGTGCGTATTTTTTTTATAAACTGTGAATTTGGATTGCCAACATCATTTCTGAGGATCAGTAGGTAGAAATTTTGATTTGTAGTTAAGATTTTGAATTATCAAATTAAATAAAATATGTGTAATATCATAGAAAGACTAGGTTAGGAAGAAAAGCATAGGGATTCATCTTCAACTTGAGAGCTAGTCAAAGACACTATTGTACCACTTGAGGTATATGGTCTCAGTGGTTGCAAGTGCCAAAGAAGGAGAGTCTAGGATGTCGTGTACACTTAAAGAGGTCTTATACCTAGCTCATATATATATATATATATATATTCAATTTATAATATGCTTAATTTTAGCATTCATCATGATTTTTCATAGTATTTTTTCTTAAATATCACATTTAATAGCTTTAGTATTAGTATCACCATCTTTCCTTAATATGATCACTTGTAACCAATATTTTATTATTATTATTACTTCCAATGCATTTATATTATTCAAACTCTCGTGATTTCTTATGTTAGTTTCTTAATATGTCTTTTTTGCTCTTTTCTTCTTACGAAGTTTATTCTATAAACCACTAGAAATTATACATGGAATTCTTATGTTAGTTTCTTAATATACATGGAATTCTTCTCTAACAATTGAAGTTAAAAGATGATAATTTCTCACCATTCAAATTCCACCTCATCATATGGTAGTAATTTATTTTGATTGATCTCTATGTATTGTTAAGACAACCATCTAAAACAATTACATCATATTATGTGGTCAAGCTCTCTCTTGGAATCACCATTGTAAACTTTAAAAATCCATGCAATAAGAAATCTATTTATGATTTAATGATTCCACTTTTACAACTAATTGTTCTTCTCATTCATTAATGTGTCTTCTATTACAAGATGATAAGTTATTTATGAAATCAAATATAACTTCTATCATTGTATCTACATCTCTTATTTTATAAGGGCCATAAATATCTAAACCTCCTCTAATAAATATTCTTTCTTCATTAATTCTAAATTATAACAATTTTTCTATATTTTTGGAAAATTATAATTTTAATTTGTCTTCTAAGCTTACTTAAAGACCATAAGCACTAACTACATTCCTAATGCCATCCCAAATAATTATTTTAGTAATATACCTATTATTAATCTCATTCACCTTTATAGCTTTAACTCTTTATCCACACTTATTCATACATTCCATTTTTATTTATTTATTTTTTTTTTTGGCAATCTTGCCAACATATAATGACTAATAACATTCCCCAAAATTCTTTATACTTAGCCTTTCCATTTAGTTTTTTTTTTAAATATAAACAATCAATCTTTATTCCTCTTTTGATCACTTTACAGACTAACTTGTCCTATTTATTGTAATAGTTTTTTTTTATTTTAATATTAAATTCAAAACTAATTAACTCTTTTTTTAATTTTTTTTATTTTAATATTATTCTAATCAAAATATCAACAGGTGGAAAGTAGTAAAAGTAGAGTTCTGTAAACAGGAATTATGGAAGGACTTCTCGTCCAGTTTGGGTTGGGTCGATCAATTTACATCAAGCAACTATGGGTGGGTTAATTTGAGTTGTCCAGGCAGATTTACCCATTTTCTCCCATTTTATGTCAGAATTAGATTAGATCCAGTATGGTTTGCTGGTTTCTGACTCTAGTCCGATGCGGGATTGCCGGAATAAACTGTACATCGTGTTAAGAACACCCGAAAAACTGAAAAAAAAATATATAACTAAATTACTCATCTTTAAAGCAACAACATCAGCTTCCATCTTCTCCACAGCTAAAGTTTCTCAGACGTTAATTTAGGCTTCTGTTGCAGAAAGGTGAGCTGATCAGCAAAGAGGAGATCCTTCATATATTTCAGTTGCTGCCATTCTTTCTCCATCAGCAGCTCCAACTCCTCAAAATGCACTAGTTTTTCTTGGATTTCCTTCATCTGGAAATGGATATCAGCATGACTGTTTAAAATAATAAAAGGAATAATGAGATATCTCGGCAACTGCGGAATAGTAAGTACCTGGACATCCACAATGCCTGCTATTGATTGTTCTATAGCCTGCTGTTCCGTGTTGAGCTGAGACTGTGCATTAGCAGCAGCATCTTTGTAAACTTCGGAACTCTCATCATCTTGGGTCAAAAGTGCCAATGAAAGAAGAGTTTTAGTTTCTGGGCCGATTCCAAAAATTAAATAGAAATACATCGTTCCCAAAAATGTAAAGCTTGGCAAGTTAAGTTAAATTGTATATTTTTCATCAAAAGCAATGTAAATAAAGTAAGACGCTGCTTGAATGACAACAGCTCATTTACTGTGAAGAGAAATGATTGATACCTTTTTATTAACTGATAAGGCATATCATAATAGAAATAAATGTGTTCTAATATCAAGCAAAGTTTTTTTCATTATTGCTGGAACATATAATAGAAGCAAGGCAAATGGCACAACATACTTGCTTCCTCATTTTCTTGATTGTTCATACCAATCTTTCCACCATTGTCATTGTTGATACTGGAAAGTTCAACCTCATTTAAAGCAGCAATGGCAGCATCTGTTGCAGTTTCAGTTACTTCTGGGCCAGCCATAGCAGCTAAAAAGGCCACCTGAGGAACAAGAAGAAAATGAAATTTTTCATAAACTCGAAAACATTCAAGGGAAGTGAAAAAAAAAACCATTTTTAACACAGATTTGACAGCTTTGCTGAGCATTGATGCCAGCATCTCAAATGAAAAAAAGCAAGAACATATTTGCAAGTCACTTGAAGCTTAGCCGGATAAAACTATGTAATGAATGAGATCTAGCTCATGTCATAACAAAAGGATAAAATGAAGCAAAAATATTTTGGAGATCCACACTCTGGTGCCAGTATTTCAAAAGAAAATTAGTTATCACATCTGTTTGGATCTGGAAAATTCATGGGATCATTCACTTAAATTATAAATCAGTGCTGATAATCCTTGACAAAGGAAAACATTTCCACGAACTTGCAGTAAAAGCATTATCTGGTTTCAAAAAGGTTTTTTTTTTTTTAAGTCTTCCATTTAACCCAATCTTCCCCTTGTCCTTCACTCCAAGATGTTATAAAATACGCCACTCGTAAAAGATGATAAAAAAGTTTCATCATAAAGAAAACCAAGCAAGGAAAGATTCTCATTTGGAAAAGTATATGGAGAGATGGGCCATATGTAGGGCTTTTCAGCATTTTCTTCTAAACAATTGAATTGAAATTTAATGAACTCCATCAAATTACGTTTAGCCATAGGATCATCATCTTGGTTTTGCACAAATAATATAAAGAGAAAAGTGTCAAAATGATGCCCTGACTTTTTGCAGCAAGTCATTTTAGCCTCAGAATGTATCAATGTTTAAAATTACACAATGGGGTGTTGAAGCGTTTTTCTTTCATGAGGCGAGGCGTGAGCTTCATATTTAACAAATTGTACAAATTAATAAATATTGGATAACTATAAAATGTGAAGTAATATTAATATTCCAACTTATTAGCACATAAAAAGTAATATAACAACATTCAAAATGAATAAAAAGTAATAAACTAAGCTGGTTATAATTAAAAGTAACTGGTTAATATCCAAACATGAAATTATAAAATAAAATGGGTTATACAAACATTAAAAACAGAAAATTAAAACATCAAAACATAACAAGTTCAACATAAATCTCTCTCTCACTCATACTAGCCCCACTTAAACAAGAATATAACAAGTCATGAACATTTGAATTTTTAAATTTAAAAGTTATCTCATCACCCAATTGATTTTCATTAGAACCATCGACATAATAAATTGTTTATCTCATGCCTTATCCTTAGTCGTATTTATATGCTCTCACTTTTCATTATCTTTAATTATAATTACCTTTTTAAAAAATAATCATCAATAAAAAGATTAATAAAAAATAATAACTATGTTGATAATTGGAACTTCAACCACGAAAATTTTTATCAATATTTTAATTTTTATTTATTGTTATTTGGTGTGTGAAGTGTGAGAACTAACAAGAAATGTAAATTGATATTACTTTTAATTTTATTAAAAAAATGGTGGATAGCCTCAATTGGTAACTTTTTTAGAGCACGAGGAGCTGGAAGTTGGGGTACTTTCGACCTAGTTAACAAAATTTAAGAGTTTATATAAAGGCTATTTTGACATGGAACGGTTCTCCATTGTAACGACGCGAGTATTGTAATATGTACAGTTGAAATTTAAGGAGACTGAGCGGGATTGTTAAATTTTTGTCGAACAAGTAACTCTGTGTGCAATTAAAGGAATCTAATTGAAAAGTTCAACACAACATTCCATGCAAATTTTAGTAACTAGATCTCCAGTAGATTCTCATGCAGCAAACGGCCATCTATACCCCATTTGAAGTTCATTTGTAAAATTTAACACATTTAAAATCTTCAATACTCCAATATTCCTGTAAGATTCCTAAGTTGTTAGTCATCAGCTTACTATTCCTTTCCTCGATGTTAAAAAGGAGGCTAATGTAAAAAAGAGTGTTTACACAGAGGCATCATATTCACTTTTCCACTCAGAACCGATCCATTACATGTATAAATCCAAAATCCTCTGCTTATAAAAATAAATAATATATGGCTTAGAAATAGCCAACTAGGAAATAGGCTAGTTTCGGCCAGGTTTTCTTTAAGCCAAAAATTTCATTTTCAGTGGAAGCCAAAATCACCTCCAATTTGCTGGTCATGATAACTTGTTAGCTTCTATTTCTCCCAATGACTTGCTTCCATTTTCAGTTATATCATCTTGCATGAATGTGAATGTATGTAGGTAAGTAGAATTTTCCAGAAGTTAAAGTTTGTTAGAGACTTTATGACCTTACTAGCAATTTTTTTTTTTAGGAAAATAACAAAATGTGGAATAGGAATGCAGAGTCAAAAGTGAGACGACTTGACACCTGAGCCATTATGGGGTTGCTTGCATCAGCTAAAGGTGTTAACCGCCTTTTTTTTGAGAGACTTGGCTCTGTAAAATCAGCATCAACCTTATCATTTTCATTAAACTCTGGCGGCCCCAAGAACTGCTCCCCAGAAGGCAGCTTGATGAACCTGGCAACACAATCTTTTTCATTTCTGCCAACATGTTCTGCCACCTTTTTCCAATCTTCACCATAATGCAAAACGGCTTCAAGGAGGTGAAGGGTCTCTTTGTCTGTCCACTCTGTCTTTGTTTCTTCACTAAGATCAACACGTTTAAAATCTGCTGAATTAAGACCAGCACGATAATTGCCACGGACAAAGCACCTTGCACAGAGAACCATATCTGTCTGAATTTGATAGAAAAGAAAAACGAAAGAGTTATGAGATGTAAGCTCATTTCTGAATGCACAACACTAGTCCAAAAAGTAATGTATAAAAATAAATGAATTGCTAGTTTATATGGAGTTTCAGAAAATAATCAGGGGGTTTGGTAGGAAAGAATCTACGTGAAAGCTTTATCTCCATGTTAAAAGTAAGATAAAAATTTGAGTGTTGAATTTTCCTCTGCATGTAACTTCAAAATGATAATCATAATGGTATGGTTTCTTCAATCAAGGGGAAAAAAATCAAGCAGTAATAATCTAAAATATATATACAGCTAAACAGGATGCTATTTTCAAGCATATTAACTTAGCGCGGCAGATTTTTCCAGTAAATGAACATTGAAGGTTTCTCTTTAGGCACAATTGTTATAAACTTGTAGATAGAAAAGTTTCCAAAAAAATTCAGCATATTCAATGTGATTGGTAAATCAAAATCAGTACATTTGAGGAACTTTAAAAAAGGCTTGTGAAGCTTACGATCAATATTGATCTTTAACCACACCAATAAATAATGGGCCTAACAAATTTATTACTTTCAAAATATTTTTTCTAATTTAATCCAACCAAATGAGGGCTCAACAAGATGGATAAGCATTCATTTATGCAAATCCCCATGTCAACAAGCAAACTACTTAATAAAAAAACATATAAGAAAAAAGGTCCTAGAGTTTGATCTCTTGATGAAGAAGTTTATTGATGAAAAAGGAGATTATTTTGATTTCGGCAAAAAAGTGCACAAGCTTTCGAATAATTATCATCATTGTCACCATTAATCCTATGTCAATCATTTAAGATCAACTTTATGAATCCTAATTTTCCTTCACTCCTGTTAGTGTTGCAAGATGTTTTATGCTTACTCTTTACAAATCTTTTTGAACATCTATCCATGTTATCATAGGCATAACCCTTTTCTTTATAATCTTCTAATCTTAATTTTATTACCCTAATATATGCATTTTTTATTCTACAATGTACATTTCCAAAATCTTTTAAGGATATTTTCAATTACTTCTTTAAATACATGGTACTCCAGCCATCCTTCTAATCTATTTATTGCTCAACTCATTGTTCCTAGCTTTGCCATAAATACATCTTAAGAACTTATTTTAGAAATCAATGATTTTTCATTGCCAACACTCAAATCCATGAAATATAGCAAGTTTGATTACAATTTCATAAAATTTATCGGTAAGGGTTTGTTTGGAGCAGCTACAGCTATTTGAAGAAACAATTGTAAAGTTGCTCCGAAAAAAATTTTTCAAGTAACTGCAGTGGCTATTACAATTTTTGTATTTTCAAAAAATTTGGTAGTAGATTTTTGGTGGGTGGCGCACTTAGCTAGATCAGGTTGTATAACGTAGCCTTTCCACCACAGCTTCTGGAAAAAGCAGGAAAAAAGTTGTTTCCCCAAACGCCCCAGCAACGTGCCCCCAAACCCCCAAACAAATGCAAAGGCTTCATGATATCAAGCTTTTAAAAAATTGCAAGCAACAATAAGTGGATATATTTAAATTTTATTTAGTTCTTGATTCTTGTAGCCATGACTGCCTAAGGAAAAATGAAATGAAGAAGAAGATAATCAGCAGGTTTTATCCACTAGGAGATCTAAGTTTGTTGACTATATTGATAATTGCCCATATAATGAGATTGTTAAGAAACTCTCAGCTCAAGTCACTATAGTTATAACCCTAAAAAATCAACTGGCTCACACAAAATATGGTCTTCGATGAGAGATTTCTAGCATTAGATGCGAATGAACAAGGTCAAAGGCTTATCCCAAGAATCATGGCAACTAATGACTCTCAACCAATGCCTTTTTATCGAAATAAATCCCAAAATAATCATCTGAATATTTATTTGTCATCAATTTATTTCCAAAGAATCATATTTTTCTAATTTAGTCCCTCAGCTATATGAAATTCAACCCAAATATCATCACTTGAGATAAAATTTTGATACAAATTAGGATACAAAAATAACCCCAATTTAGTGCTCCATTATACAAAATTGATCCCAATTTAATTCTTGGGAGATAATTTGGGATCAATTGTATATAATTAATGGACTAAATTGAAAAAATGGTATACTTTGAGATGAAATTAGCCACATATAACTAGTCATTGAGATTTAATCCATTTATTATTATATTTTTCCATGTCATAATCATTACACATTCATGTTACTAACCATGATGGGCTTGCAACAAGGCAAAATTGGATTGAGACTAGGAACATGAATACCTAGTTTCTTCAAAATTATGTGACTCAAACATTGAGACCATAGTAGCCAAAAACCTGGATATTAGTGTCTAGGTTGCTTGGAACCTAAGCATAAATATCGAGTTCGGCCAATCACATTTTTGTGGCAAAATTGTTTGAAAGAAGAATGATTGAAAAATATTAGAAGAGAACACATTTGATAAATTATTAATAAAAGGATAATATATCGATGATGGGATGATTCAAAGAATTTCTAACACTGATGCAATGCAAAAAAAATCAAATGGGATATGAATGATTTATGGATGGCACTAACCATCCATCAAGAAAAGTTGAGTGCACATGATATATAATAACAATTGAATGTATATCAATAAATATTAATTAAGGAATATGTTTCGTCTATGTCTAGTCTAAGGGCAAACTTGTCTTTTGTACGTCTAAGGGCAATTTAGTCTTTTATTACTATTATTGTTGGGTATAAATAGGCTTGTTATGTCCAGGGTTAAGTTTATGCATGAGATTGAGTTGTGAGTCGTTGGTTAGGCTTTGGGAGAGATTTCCTACATCTCGAATTGTAGGAATTGGAAGAGATCGCCTACCTCTCGAATAATAGGTGCTTATCTTTGTATTCTCATTGAGTTGTTTAAATTAATGAAATAAAAAATCTGTTCACCCAAAATTCTACGAAGAATCGTGTCAATTTTTGCTCCAGATCGTATCAAATTGGTATCAGAGCAGTCGGTCCCGAGAATCAAAGAAGAAAGATCGAGTGCCACAACTTCGATCCATGTCATGACAGTGAAACCCACAAACGATTTTTGCGAAAAGAAGAATCTTGCGCACTTGTGAAGCTGATCGGAATACAGTTACAGTCACAGGAAGCAAAGGGATCACAACTTTCAGTGATCGGGAAGCTTTTCAATGTACAAAATCATGATGGCAATCAAATGACGGGCCGCTACAGTCGCGATGGCGGTTCTTGCGTGGCCAACGCTCGTGATACAATTGTTATTACAGCAATCTACGAGGGCAACGACAGGCTCGTGTCTTACAGATGAAGACAACGGCGTACTCGCAGCCTTACCAGAGGGATTTTTTATTGTGTTTGGTGTCCAATTAAAACGGATGAAAAATTCAAGTGGGTCCCACTCTAAAAAAGAAAAAAATTGTATTGCGTCCATTTTAATTGGATACAGGACGCAATTTGTGTCCGGTGTCAGGAAGCAATAAAACCTCTACCAGGGGACAATCTCTTTGCGAACCGTCGCATGGAAGGCAACGACGGGAAGTGACGTACAGAGACCCGAAACTCCAATTCTTCTCTTCCTCTCCCGTCGTCTATGCAATCCCTTCGCGATCATAGCTAGTTAGGAAGGCCGCGGCGAAAAACTGATTTTCTCTAGTTCTTGCAGCATCCACCCCTTATGACAGGATCTTAACTACAGTAAAGCTATTCGAGCTATCGGGCTTACGTGGATCAGTGCTTTATTCCAACGGACTAGATTTTTGCTACTAATTTCAACTTATAAACACATTTCACTTACAAAGCTATTGTATTTTAGCTTACTTGTACATACATTATTCAAATCGACGACGGGCATACGTTCTCGCAATATAGACCCTCAAATCAATCAACGAGAGTTCAGCGTGCAAGTGCTTTCATGCTTTGTGATCCAAATTTTTTTGGGAGTGATGATAACAAAAAAAAGTTGATGATTTAGAGAAAAAGTTCAGGAAGAAATTAGCCAAATCAAATTTGAGATAGAAGAAAGATTTAGCACCATAGAAAATAGGTTTTCTTCCATATAAAGCCGAATGGACGACAGATTTGAGAGCATAAGGGAAATGTAAAAAATTATGAAAAAGATAATGGAGTTTCACACAAAACTGGCTCCGCCCGCCATGAGGTCGAAAGACAATGTCGGGAACGGACTCCAACAATAACAACCAAAAGGATTCGGACGACATGAGGGCAGCGTCACACCTTTAGGCATATAGGGAGTTGTGGAATCGAGCAAGGAAACCCAGAGTGGACATGAGCGATGGCACTTTGAAGAAATAATATTACATTCAAATGACTTTAACAAACAAAAGAAAGCAAGATTAAAGTTGACATGGATGAAAGAGACAAGTGAGATGGAGTTGACAGAGATTTTGGAGATTGGTAAGCCACGGGATGAGTTGTTTAGGACTACAATTTTCTCTAAGATTGATTGGAAATAAGGCCACCAATCGATTCAGATGTGGCCAAAGGATGTACACAAGACTATATTTTGAACTTCTATAGGGCACTTATGAATTCCTGATAAAATGGAAAAATGGTCAGATAATGATGCCAGGTGGAAGCCGCCTAACTTGCCAAGCAGCAGTCTAATTTTTTTACCACCTTTAGGACAAGGTGCCTTTTTCTTTTCTTTTTTTTTTTT